TTGTTTCATACAACTCAAAATTTTTCCCAAGAGAGAAGACCCGCTAAACCCCCCCCCCCCAAAAAAAAAAAACAAAACAAAACATTTATTAGATTAAATAACGCTGCAACGACAAAATTTAAGACCAACAGGAATCCCCCCCATGAATTTAAGACATTTTAAGGCCTTAATTTTAGATATATGAATCTCAGACTTTGATCCCACGGCAACAAAATCAATGGGAGCATCTTCACCTGTGTGCGTTTTGCAGCTCTTGGAGGCAGCACACGCTCTGAGTGCCGCGAGGCGGCCATCTTTCTCCGCACGGAGACCGCTGGGACTGACGTGGAGTTAGCTTCAGCTCCTCCACCTGATGCTGCAGCTCCTCCACCTGCGTCTGTAGCAGCTCCACCGTCTCCATCAGCCTGAACAGAACGTCACATAGGGTTGGTAAGAAGGAATATTAAAAACCTGCTGCCTTCCTTCCAGATCAGATCGCTCACCCGTGGATCTTCAACTGGGCCGTCCGGTTGTCCAGAACCAGTTTCTGGTTACTCTGCTCCAGCTCTCTGGCGGAAACGTCAAGCTGCTCGTAAACTTTAGCGTGCTGATCGTTGACCTGCCGGAGGAGGTCAACCTGTTTCGTCAGGTACTGGAAAAGAGGGAAAGTTAAGTTTGAGGGAACTGGAAGAAAACGATTTCTAAAGTCCTGGTAGGCGTGTTTGGAGCTCTTAGCTATTCAACACAAAATATTAAGAAAGTATTGTTGGTCTAGTTTCTATAACACTTGAAATAAGTCAAAAATACAATTAACTTTTCAGCAATACATAGTAGGAGTTATGAGTAACTAATTTCTTAATATTGATGAAAAAGTATGAGTTCCACTGGCAGATTATTTTACTTTTAACATGGGAAAAATTTATTGTTATAAGTGAAGTAATTTCCCAGTGAAACTTGTAAATAAATTGATGCAGCATTACAGTTAATACCACATAGATTGTTTATGAAATGTAAAAAAAAAAAAAAGGTAAAATGTGTGGTTAATAATTGCTTTCCTAAGCAGTAATTAACCTTTGATTAATGGTTAACCATTGGTTATATTTAATCCACAATATAATCATGAATTTCTACGTCTTTATTTTCCGGCGCACACCTTTAATGTTTTAGGTAAGCTTCAATGCCTCCAAGGGCAATTTATCTTATCAGCTACTGAGAAAAGAACATGCTGAGACTTTCTGCAGCTTATCTGCTGAGTGAAAATTGGCTCAGGTGAGAGAAATGTTCACCTCACACAACACTGGGTATAATTTTCAATCTGTGTGGAATAAAGGTCACCATAAGTATAAATTCGTGAACCCCGTTTGTGCTTTTAAAACCCACTAAGGCGGGATATTAGGATTATTAAACCAATGATGAGTGAATAAAGTTCTGATTAGAAATGGATATGATTACCATTGCTGTCCAACCAGTTTTCTAGGATATTGGCTAATGTGGGTCTATATCATTAAAATCCATTGAAGTTTGTGGGTGTAACGTAAGAAAATGTGAAAATGATCAAAGGGTATGAACGCTTTTCTAAGGAACTAAATGTACGTTTAAAAAAAAAGGAGCAGCAAAGATGTTTTTTATGGGTGTCCCCTTGAGAGTCGCAGTAAATCAGAGATAATACTTCCACTCTTAAGAGATTAATTTGGTAACCAGCAGGGATGAGCAGGTTATTCGTTTGGACTCAGGCACCCAAGGCTGACCTGATTGAAATAAATTTAATTAAAGTCTGGGGACCTGTTAGGAATCTTGAAATCATTACTTACGGTGCATGCAGTGGAGGACAAAGAAGCAGCTCTCCACGGGAACAGCAAATTGCCGTTTTTGTTGCCTAATCGGCAGATTGCAAGACTTTGTGTTTGGTCATGGTTCAGTGACGCTTCATCTGTCAGCTCCAGATGAAAACGGTTTTGCATATCAGGTAAAATATCCTGCAGCATAGGGCTGGGCATTAAACCACTTTCAGCGACTAATCGAATTTTTGGTTTTTGAAGATTTAATTTTTGGAAAATCTGGGGGGTTTTCCACCAATGCACTCCTTGGGTTTTTGTAGCTCGGAGTGATGTCACCACGCTCAGGACCGCCATCTTGTTTGACAAGCATGTTATTTATTAGGACGTTGAATTCAGGTCAACTCCACCACAGAGTACTAGGGAAAAGCTATTATATTTTTCTTAATTATGAGGTTAAAGTCATAATATTACAAGAATACAGTCGAACGACAATAGTCAAAATATTATGAGAATAAAGTTATTATATCAGGAGAATAAAGTCATAATTTTGTGAGAACTCAAATGTGAAAAATAAAGAGTTAAAATGAGAAATGTTGAGAATCTTGTGAAGTTATAAGCTTTACGGATTAGTACTTAATCTTTTAACACACCAGCACCAAATTATTATCAGTAGCAGGACTTTGAAACAATCTTGGAAATAATTGTGTCTCTTTTGAAGAAAGAGTTGCAAACAACTTCCTTCTTGTAATTTTAAAAAGTTTTTCTGGTAAAACCGCATCTTTTTTCCTGCCAATATAACTATATTCTTGTAATTAAACAAAATTTCTCAATCGTCCAACTCACAGAAAGAATGATGCAACTAAAAACTACTTTTTGAAAATATATTTTTTGTCGTTTATAAGACCTGTTTTTTTTTTTTTTTAGGAAAAAAAAAACAAGAAAAATTGAAAATTGGATGTGGTCTGAAAAAAATCTGGGATTTACTTTTAAAGCAATATCCCGCAGCGTGACTGTAGCATGACCTTTAGGCCGAATTTTAGGGCAAACCGATGGTTTTGTGAAGGAGGCGTTTCATCAAGCAATACATCAGAAAGGTTGCACCATTTCCTCCTCACCTCGATCTCCTGCAGCTGCTCCTGGTTGGTGGAGTACATCTGCTGCAGGCCCTGCTCCAGCTCCCGGTTCCTCTCCAGGAGAGACTTCCCCAACTCGGCCGCCAGCTGCAGGTCTGCAGGAGAGACAGGGGGGTGAGCAGGAACCGGGCGCTGTTTTTTATCCACGTTTAGAGCCACCAGAACGGGCATAGGGAGCTTCTGCAAGCTGCTTTAAGAGGGTTTTATTTTTTTGCTATCTTTTTGTCCATAAACCTGTTATTTTCTCCACTTCTGAATAAGGATTGTTTTTAAACTCACCGCAAAAACACAGCTTTTGAGTACACAACCAGTGCTATTAGATTTCCTTATTCCAATCTAGATTAAAAACTTAATCCTGGTCAGAATCAATGATGTTGCTACAATATTCCGCTAAAGCTAGGGGAAAGAAAGAACACTTTAAAAGTTTGATGTTTCTGTAGAAATCTTTGAAATTAATAATTTTCTTGTGTACAATGTACAAAGATGGAGCAATATATTTGCAAACAACTTTGCACAAAACATTAAAGTTTATCAGAATCAATATTTGAATCAGTATCTGAATAAATTTGCAAGTGTGGAATAAAGCAAACAAACGGCAATTAAAATTTTAGAAAATGTATTTCTTCTCTTATTTATGGCGAAGACAAAAAGTGATGCCATTCATAAAATAAAGAAGAAATTGTTGTAACATAATATTTCTATGGCAAAACTTAAAATTCACTATTCAAATTCATTAATTCATTATTTTTAATTTATAATTGATGCTTTAACAAAGCATAATTTGTTCCAAGGAGACACGTAACATTTACACATTTCAAAACTGCATCATTCCATCTTACTTGATTTGCAATTTAACACAAATAAAAGTGTTTTTTAAAAAAACGCCCATCAGTTTGAGAACAGACCAGAATAAAGACATAAAAAGAAAAAGATATTCTTAAACAAGGCTCTTGTTTTTTCCTCACTTTGCCGCATATGTGAATATTCTGCTGAGCCAGGCTGCCTTTTTCTGCATCCAACAAAAAATAATAAAATCTTCAAAACAAGTTGGATGCTTTGTGAAAAAACAAGTGTCTTAAATAGCACATGTCGTATACCTTAAATACATGAATTTAATCAAATCTGCCACATAAAGATTTAAAAGTGATTTGCTTCCTGGTTTATGTGTTACAATTTGTTGCTGCATTTAACCTTTCATCGCATATTGACAGTCAATAAAAAGGGCATAGACATATATTTGCTTTTTAGGGGTTCCTTAACAAAGACAGAAAGGAAATGTACCATGTTCAAGGTCCTGCTTGTCGTACCACGGTTCCTCCTCCTTGATCTCAAATTCCTCTTCGACAATCATGTCTGCCAGCATCTTCCCGCTAAAAACCAGTCAGAAAATCCAAGTTATATTTCTGTTTTTAAACATAGCTAAAAGCAGCGGAGAGACCGGTTCCAAAAGACTGCCCGCCTGCAGCGGCCGGTGTGCGGCACCCACTAACGGTCACACGGATAGACAGCTCACCACTAGTGAAGTTGGGAAGCTATCTGATCGCGTTTCCGGTCTGGATTTTCAAAATAAGTCGTGTTTAGCGAGTTAAAAGAAGTAACCTCAGGGTTATTAAAATTACGGCTTCATTTAGGCAGTCAGAGTAATTTAGAAGTACAGATGCAGTTATGTCAATGACAAAAAATTGTTTTTGGCAAAGATTTATTGCAAAAATAAAATTAAATAATGTACTGATTTTGTCACTTTAGTATCAGAACAAACCATATGTACTTTCCATTTACCAATTAATCACTGTATATATCATATACAAAAAATAAAATGAAAATTATCAGGCTATTTTTATACATTTATAATAATGTATCATGCAGTGAACAAGATGCCAAAACACTCACCAAATAAACCTAAAAGTGTAAACTGTTATTTATAATTTTAATTCTTTTAATATTTTTGGAGACCAAATTTTGTAGCATGCTTTTAAAATCACCCCTGACAGAGGAAATCAGGCAAACAGAAGACAGAAACCTGTCATTTTAAGAAAATGCAGCAAAAATATAATCAGTTTTAAACTATAGGACAGAAGTAATAAACATTTGTGATTCCAAATAAGGATATTGGAGATCTAGTGGTTTTTACAAAATGTAAGGTTGAAGTTTGTTACTTATTATTCTATTCTATTGTGGCTGGAAAGAAACTTGTTTAAAATAAAAACATAATTAATCATTTAATTAAGTGATTGTAATTTTTTTTTTTACTTTTTAATTTTGCTGTAGATCATTTCTTATTCTATATGTAGGACTTTTAAGCGAATATTTTCTGAAAACGAAAAACAAAACAAAACAAAAAGTCGTGCCTTTATTGTGAAGAATAACCTAACCCTATTTCCGGTCTTCATCTACCGCCGTTTCACATCCCTTCTACACCTGCTCTAGGGTGAAGCAGGGCTTCCTGCATGAAAACTGTATCGGACATTTTCACCATCACCACACGAGGGCGCTGCAACGAAAAAATAAATTTCTCTCTTTCAACTAGCTTGAAAGTAAAATACATTTTATTACATACATTTTTAAAATAGTAAACAACAGAAACAGAATTTAATCAAACAAATAAATGAAATTCTGAGTTTGCAATATCTTTATTTAAAAATATACATTTATGACCCCAACAACATATTGGACTTCCCCCTCTGGCTTGAAATTCTGTTTTTCTTTATTAGCAGCACGCACACTCAAAGTGTGTCACTTTGTACTATTTCAACCATTCAACTTTTAACCTTTGAGCTCTTTCACATGCATTCAGCTAGAAAAGCAGTTCAAACCTTAAAAATGTACACATATCCTTACACTACTTCTGTTTACTTCAGCTATTTCATATAATTTACATATTTTGTAAAATCCCTCATTATGCTCAGTCTTCAGAAAAAACCATGGGTGGCTCTGGCCGGTAAGAAATTAAGCATCATTGTACCATTAGCTCTGAGGGATGAATTTAGGCTTGAAAGAAGGAATTAGCAGAAATAAATAAATTAAAGATAACTTTAAATTACCTTATTTTGTCGTTTCTACATTGACATACAATTTATTTGTTTGTTCTTTTTTGTGCCAATTGAAAAACTACAAAATTTAGAATCAGCTTTATATTTTAAATGTTATTTTTATACAGTTTCAGTAACAAGTGTTTACATATTTCACACACAAAAATGTGAAAAAAGTTTTGTGATTCAATTTATGAAAAATCCGTAAAGCCATTGTAAGTACTCTTTCTTACCAGTTGGGGGCACTGTAGCTTCATTTTCTGTTTAATTTCTCTGCTCAAGAGAGTCGGATTCAACTACAAATCCTTTATTCAGTCTGGAGACAAAGAGAATATGATATTGTCAGTAAATGTATTCATTTAAAAAGATAAAACAACATTACCAAAGGAAGCTAATCCACAGATCATAGTAAATCAAGTATTTCATCAGCTGCAGAAGCAGATCTTGATTTCAGATGAGAACAAAAAAATGTTTCCTTTGGTGGATATGTTCTTTTGGGGAAACGTCTTTCTGATCATAAATTATTTGATAATCTTGAGCCAATAAATATGGGAGATTTTTGTCCATCTTATTCTTTCTTATGGCGTTTTACTTTTTGGTAATTTTATATAACAAATTGTCTCACAGAAACCTTAAATAACAAAAAGGGTTTTGTTATGACTCAGCTGCTAGAAAACCAAACAATAATCTTGCAGGGACTGAAACTGTTATTAACTCAGGATCTTTGTTTTTTCTCCTGGGTTTTGGACATCCGTCTGTTCATATCCGAGTATTTTATAACATTTCACATGGAGTGACTCAATGATTACTCAGCTGGAGCTTCAGCTCTGCTGCTTCCACCTACACCAATAGTTACAACGTTTTTAGTGGAACTTCTTCTTCTCTGGTGCTAATAAGATAAGTTGGACACCAAGACGCTTGTATTAAAGCACTCGTTTCATTTTGACTGTACAGCTGATTTAGTATAATTTTCTTTCGGTACCTGGTTATATACACAGTTCTGGAAAAAATTAAGAGCCCACTGCACTGAACTCCATTGGTTATTCCACCAAATATTGATTTCTGAACTCTTCCTGAGTTCTTCCTGAGGAATAGTTTTCCTGCTCAAAACTATTCATTGCTCTTTGCTACACAATCCTCTTTGCTTATTCCTATTTCTTGTGCACCCTTTTCAACTAGAGTTTTTCCTCTCAGTGGATTTTTGAAGCTCATCCCTTCTTGTAGGATGTTTCTGGTGGTGTTGCTGAATGGATAGAAGGTCGTGCCTCTCCCTGTTGCTTGTGCACATTTTTCTACCACACTTTTTCCTTCCACTAATCTTTCCATCAGAATGTTTCCTTACAGAATCCAGTGAGCAACCAACATCTTTATGTTGTTTATAGCACCGAATTTCTGCTTGAAAAATTCTGCTTTATTGTATCACTATTGACTATTTCCTATCAAAGACTCAATAGCAAATTTTTATCAAATATAAAGACTCCACTTTGTGGAAGATGCGTTTGTATAATAGTTCAGTTCAGTTTTTGATTTGAATGAGTGAAACAAATAAACTTTTTTGATTTTATTCTAATATCACCTTTATGGATTTGTGTCTGTTTGTCATGCATTATTTCCAGGCCAGACATAAAGGTGCAGCTTATCAGCTGTGACTTCAACCTGCAGCTGGGTGTGAATGGATTTTCACAGATTATCTGAGTCTCTCACCTCCTGCTCACCATATCACATTATTCAGAGGCTGTACATTAGTTGCTCCCACATTAAGCCTCTCCCCTTTAAGGCATTCCTAGAGACAGTCTTTTCATCTTATTTTCGATTCCTGCTTCACCTTTCCTCCCTGATTTCTCCGTTTCAGTTTTGCGGCTGTCAGGGAGATTTGAGGAAGAAGAAGCAGGATTCCTCCGCGGGGAACTCGGCCTCTCAGAACGACAGGATGACTGTGATCTTTTCCCTCGCAATCAATACTGTTTGTGCTTCTTCAACCCACACTTCCAGCTGTGGTGGGGGTTTTTTTTATTCCTCCTTTCTACTATTGCTGAGCTCCAGCATGGATTTCATGGGGTGTGAAATGTCACAAACAGTAGAGTGAGACCCCATGCGCTCTTTTAATTCACCTGGATTTGGCAAAACAAGATTTCCAGTCATGTTTTCTGAGACAGAAGAACAATAATGGATCTGAGAGCAAATGATAAAGGCAGATAAACTAAAGAGGGGAAATGAAATATTACAGTCAAGTGTGCAAGGCAAATAAGATGATTGCCACTCCTCTTCCCTGAGGCGATCTGGGTTGGTGATGCCTCTTGCTGAGGCTCTGAAGTGGTGACAATAATGTGCAGCAGAAACTGGTAATGAGTCGTTAAAAAGAGAGATTTGGGGCTTTACTGATCCGTTTCCACACCAAATGTCTTGGCTGTGGGAGTTGGAACCTCTAAATATTGTTGGGGGAGTCGGGAGGGGCTGTAATGGGATTTAAGGATGCGCTTCTGGGGTAGAACCATAACACCGACTCAATACATATCCTCAATATGTCTGTGTGTGTGTGTGTGTGTGTGTGTGTGTGTGTGTGCGCGCGCGCGTGTGTTCAAATTTCATCTTCAAAGCTTTTTCTTTTTGTATATATTAACTGTGACAGGCGCAGAGCCATTTTATTTTTTCTGCTGTCCTTTTTTTTGTTGAATGATTTTTCAGCCTTTTGTTCTGGACACGAACACAAGCAGACAAGGATGGTTGTGTTCGTGCGCTGAGCAGGGGATGCTGCGTTGCCATAGCAACCAGCCGTTTGGCAAAGATTCCCGTGATGTCAAGTCTCGTCCGGGATCATATATAGGTTCAGGACAAAGATACTGGCACAAGCAAGCAAACACACTGCATACTGTACATGAACATGTTTTTTTGTCACAGATATACATCCTTTACAGTGTTGTGAAAAATTTTTGCCTTATAGATCTCTTCTGCTTTTTTGTCACACTTGCATGTTTCACATCAATAGACTGGGAAAAAAAAAAAACATATAAAGTGTAGTGACCTGACCTAATCTGACTGCTTGTTCTTGAAAAAACAAATATGTCTGAAAAGATGGCCAAAATTCACCCACAGAGTATCTGCATGTTTCAAATTTAAGACTTTTTAAGACCATTATGAGTGAAATGTATTTATCATGACAGAAATGCACAAAATAAAATTTAATCTATTATAAATAGTTCAGAGGTTTTTTTGCACATAATAAATATACAGCTCTAGAAAAAATGAGAGACTACTGCTAAATTATCAGTTTCTCTGATTTTAGTTTTTATAGGTATATGTTTGAGTGAAATTAACATTGTTCTTTTATTATATGAACTACTGACAGCATGTCTCTGAAATTCCAAGCAAAAACTTAGTTTTTGCAGAAAATGAGAAATGGTCAAAGTAATAAAAACCTCAAATAATGCAAAGAAAACAAGTTCATATTTATTTAGAAACAACAATACTAATGTTTTAACTCAGTAAGAGTTCAGAGATCAATATTTGGTGGAATAACCATGAGGTTTTCAATGGGGATCAGTGCAGTGGTCTCTTAATTTTTTTTCCAGAGCTGTAACATTGTACGGGTTGGCAATAGAAGTGAGCCAGTGACGAGTGTAAGATGATTTGTTTTTGTATTTCAATTAATGTGGGTACAAGATCAGTTATTTACTAAAGATGATCGATAGCTAAGTTGTGCTGTACCTTTAAGAGGAGCTGTTTCTTTCTTCTTCGGTGTTTTTTTATTTTTTTTATGAAGGCCAGAGACTGGTTCTGTTTTGCTGAAGGAAGATTGAATAAAAGTCTGGACAATTACACTATTCCCTCTCAGTGTTCTGCTTTTTCTCCATCCACAACCTCCTATTTTGTGGTAACACGTATTTACACGTATTTACGCATTTACCCCACATCGTAGGGGTAAATACGATGTATCAAATACGGTTAGCTAACAAGGGTGTGTTAGCCTAGCAGCCAGAACGCAATGAATAGTCTGCAGGTGTCTCAAATGTTTGCCTGACAGAAAAGTCCCACAAGAAAAACAAATTACATAGATAAAATAGTTTTGCCATCACAAAATTTTATATTGACGTATTTCAGATTAACTTACATTTTCTGTAATAAAAAATGAGAAGAACTCAATTTATTAATTTTAGATAGATTAATTTAAGACTTTTTAAGGATGCGCGGATACCCTCATCCACAGGGATGTAATCGATTCGTTGCCAGGTGCACAAATGCTTGTAGTCAGGTGTGATCTCTAAATGCGGCACAAGAAGTTATTAAATTTAGGTAGGCAATTTCTTTTGGATCTGATTGGTTTTAACAGCATTTTCCTTAATGAATAAATTAATATTTAAAATCTGTTTTTGTATTTACTCTGGGTATTTTTGTCTGGATGATAAGTGTAACAAAAAAAAAAAAGCAGAACGAAAGCAATATGCAAGGGTGCAAATTTAGGATGTTGTATACATGTAGATAGATAAAATACTTAGAACTTCAAAAGTTTCCATTGCTGCAAGTTTAATCAGAGGAAGGCAGATGTCACTTCACACAGGTACATCTGTGTTGTTTACTCACCCAGAATGCAATAAACAGGAAATTGGGAGGAAGAGAAATGGTGAGAAGAAGACTCTGATAACAGGGAATCTCTAGATGGCAACACTGATAAGAGAATATTGGGAATTGCGATAAGAGGAAATTGGATTTGTGTTATCAGTGAGCTGCAACATCAAAGGCCTTTTGGCAGAGGGAAGTGGGAAACTTTAAACCAAAAAAAAAAAAGTTAATTTCACAAGTAATCTCCCGCCTTGGGGCTTGTGGGTAAAACAAAACTCTGTGAAGATGAATTTAGCTAATCTCTCTCACACAGCTTCAGGGAATTGCAAAGGCACAGGGATAGAAATTTGCCCAAGCGGCTGGTTTGGAGAAGTAAAAATATGGAAAACGGAGACATCTCACTCTGTTCATTCAGTGTGAGAATGATGATGGCTGTTCTGGCAAGTGCAAAAAAACATGATGAAAATGAGTAAGAGCTCAGATATTTCCTGCTGTCTATGAATGAAAGGGACACCTGAGTCACAACAAACACACTGTGACAAAATACAACATGCTCTTTTAAAAAATCTAGCTTTTTTATGTTTAAAAGTTTCTTTCTATAAGAATATTTCAGCTTAAATTAGGTCACACGCTTATTGCTATTCATTAATCCAAGGACTGTTGCAGTGTTATTTTTAAAAAGTACCAAACTCGAGTTCAGTATGAAAACATGAAGCAGAGATTTAGAGCAACGCTGACAAGAAAATACTGACGTTGTCGGTCCAGATATTTAATGCTGAAATCTTTCAGATCATCAAAACATTTTTGTATATCACATCTGAGACCTTTTAAGATTTTATTAATAAGTTCAACAAACTGTTCTAGTTTCAGCTGTCTTATTATTTATTTCTGTATCTGCTAGACTTTAAAAAACAACAACAAAATATCAGATTTTCAATTCTAATCTATTTTTTCCTCACATTTTTTTCCCTCTTTAAAACAAACAACACATGACACAGCATCTCATCAAAGCCATTTTCAAATGTGAAATCATGTTTTTACTTCCTGTCCATCAGCTGATCAGAGCCGTTTCTGTGCTTTTACGTTTCTGTGCATCTGTTCAGATGAGAAATGCTCACGGCAGCAGGAAACGGCCGAGCTGATGCTTTCTCTCTGGCTCAGTCCAACTGCTGAGTAAAGAGAAAAACAAAATCTGTCAGTCGTCTCCCTTCTTTTTTTATCTGCACTGATGGGAAATGCTTCTTCCTTTTTTGCCTTCAAATGCAGCAAACAACACTTTCAGACAATTTTGACGACAGCTACAAAAGAAAATGTCTGGGTTTTTTTTAAAGATATCTTGTCACTATCTGGTCAATCTTTGTGTTGCTGAAGCCACTTTTCTGCCAGTTTCCGCTTTGTTCAGTCTTCAGTAATCACAGAGATGCATAAAAACAGCAAACAGAGGAAACATTGTAGCAGTTTTGGGGGTTTTCCTCAGCAGCTTAGATGATTTAATATGTACAAGTCTTATGTACAAACATCTTCACTTGTGGATAATTTATTGAAAATGTTCATGTTTTATTTAACCACTAAAGTCTAAACATGTATATATTTTTTTCTTTAAATCTCCAGTTGATTTACCAATTTCTTAATTCATGGAAGAAATACCTGCAGACTCATTCAATAAATTAGAATATTTTTGAAAAGTCAGTTTATTTCAGGAGCTTTTTCACTAAGTGAATCATGTTATATGAATTACTTACACATAATTGAAAGACTTTAACTCTGTTTATTATGATGATATTCTGGTTACTGCATTAAAATTACATCAAACCAGTAAGCTATTTGTAAAAACAGAAATTTGGCAAATATATTGTTTTTCCCCCCATATGACTATTTAAAAGTGTTCATTATTTTTGTTTGAAAAGCCCTGAGAAAAAGTGGAAATTTACAGCTTCGGGTTGCTGCTGACATCATGTTTCTTTTAAGCAGGTCCTATTTAAAGTAAACAGAAACTTAAAGGGGTTAGAAGAGGAAAATAAAAGTATTTATTTTAGTTAATAAAACCGACTTATAAACTGTATTTATAAATCAAACATGTTACATAAAACAGTTTTTGTGTGACAGAAAGCTTGGTTTATATAAAAAGGAAACAGGACTCCCAAGCTGTGCCGGATTGTCCAACTTGGCTGAAATAAGGCCAACTTTATAACTGCAGAGCTTTTAGTGTTTAGCATTTAATTGGTCAGACTTTCTTTCTATGCTAGAAGCTGCAACAAATTTCTGTTCTGCACACCCTTCAAAATGTTCACTTCAGTCTACAGTCTAATCTTCAGCCTGGTTTTCTCCAACTCACATCAACCAGCAGAGATCTGCAAACCTGCTAAAGAAAACACCAATTAAGTTACCACTAAAACGTACCTTGATACCCCTAAATAAAATCCAGCTGCAATCAGAAGATCCTAAAAATCATCAACTAATTTAATAGCTGATTAATCGTTAACTGGTTTACACAACCTCAAAAAAAAAAAAAAAAAAAAAAAAAAGACATCTCCTGAAAAAACAACACAGTCAGAGCTGTAATTAAGCCCAAACTGTACAGAATACATACACATTTTGCATTTTTGATTATAAAAAAAAAACAAACAAACAACAAAAAACCTTTTTGTCTGTAACACCCTGAACTCATCAAGTGGCAGTTTTAGCTTCACCGGGTTCATAATCACCTTTAGCGAGCCAATTACTAATAGGTTGAAACCTAATTTTAGCTGTTTACATATACTTTTCATCCAACCTGAGCTTCAGCCATTTTGCAAATAATACAAATGCAGGCCACACTTTCTTAAACTGTAAAATAAATAAGTAAAATCATGCATCGGTGAGTAATTTTAAATGTGGAAGGAAAGTGATTTATCATTATGTTTCCTGCTGATTACTGACCGAAGTGGAGCTCTGATTTTATTTCATTTACAACAGAAGAGGTCAGATTATTTGGGCAGCACCGCATGAGATGAAGTGACAAACACGCAGGAATCAATCACTTTCTCGGTGCTGGAGAAGAAGAGAAAAAAGAGAGAGAGAGAAAGAGAGAGAGTGAGAAAGAGAGAGAGAGGTGGTGGGGGAGCTTTTTGCAGATCTCAACACTATTGGACGTCTGTGTGTGTTTTCCCTCCCGTTCATAGTGCCGCACCCTGAACCTCCCACATCTACATCCTCACTCTGCACGGCACAGATAGATATTTTTATTTGTACTTAATTTCCGGCAGCAGCTGGAGCGCAGGAAGGACGACGCTTCGGCACCTTCCCGGACAGGTTTGGAGCCAGAGATGGGAGAGGATCCGCGGCTATGACACGGACACACCGGGCGGGAAGGATGGCTCTCACCAGCCGGGAGATGTTAGGCTTGATCGGAAGCGCCTGCCTCTGGCTGCCGCTGTTTGCGGAGGTACGTAGGGGCTACTGTACGATGAGGTGCATTTTTTTCCACCCCAATATGGCCTGATTTTTTATGGGTTTTTTAAACGCTCTGCTCTTTTTTTTGTTGTTAAAAAACCATTTAATCGCGAGATAGTCACGCTCTACTTACCTCCACCCCTATTTTAATACAACCCCACCTCAATTAGGCTGATAACTGAGATGAGGTTTGGATTATTTGTTGTTTTTACACAACCCATCCACCGCTGATCCATGCGGGAAGTATTCCCAACAAAGCAGGTGCATATCGGGGCGTTAACAAACAGCAGATCCGCATCTTATCCAGCTACTGATGGCATGTTTCACAGCTTAATTAAACAGACTTTATTGATTGCGTCGCACGCACAAAGCCATGCATGCACAGTGGCAGATGAACGCTGCCTGGCACACCTCCTTCCACTCCTCCTCCTCCAGCGGAGGGGATATCATGACACGGAGCCATCGGTGGCTCCTCTGGTCCACGCAGGTGTTGCAGAGATGAACCCCGCACGCCTGGTTGAAGCTTGTCACAGCGGTTTGATCAAAGCTGGACAAGTTAACCCAGAAGAACCGCAGGGGAACAGGTGCTGCTGTCAGATGCTGCGTGGCTGTTTTCACTGATTTACACAAAATAATGTTGTTTTTTAATTCCCCATTGAGCTGCAAATCAAACAGTTTCTATAAATAAATGTAACTGAATCATTTCTTCATTTAAACTTTGCAGTTTCCAGTTCACTGTCTATGAATTCATCGGGTTACACTCATGATTTGACTCTTCAAAAGGGGAAAGGCAAGAACACATTCATATTCTGCAGATCTGCAGGCTAGAAGTTGGTTACAGGAAAATAGCTGCTTTTGAAAACACGCCCACATTTACAGTCAGAACAACAATTAAAGACTTTAATGGGGCAGTATTACGTATTTTCCAGGCACATAGTGCCAATTTTATAGCACAATCAAGTAAGTATGTTACCTTCAGTTGTTATAAAAATGATGTCAAACCTTTGTCTCCTCTGGCCTCTGTCTCTTTAAAAACTTCTGCTCTTTCCAAAGCTACAAATTCAGGAAGTCATGGTATATACAGCATTTTTATAACAACTGAAGATAACACAGTTACTTGGTTGAGCTATAAAATGGCCCTATGTTTCTGGAAAACATAATACTGCCTCATTAGATGATTTGTCAAACATGCATGAAAGAATCAAGGCAACACTCCAGGTATGTTTCTGCTGAGAGAATAACGTAAAGCTTAACATCTCATGCTAAATTTAGCTAAATTTTGCATAATACTGCCCTTGTCCTTGTTGTTGACAAATGTGTTTTTAAATGCTTTCTTTTAAAGGAGCCTTTTATACAGAATTCATAAAAATGCTTTTCATTTGGGTCTCGAAAAGGAGCCGTTTCAAATGACTTGTTAAGTCACAAATCAGCGGGCACTGCCCGTAACCTGGCAACCATCTTGGAGCTCTGCCCGTTATCTAGCAACTCCAGCTGAGCTCCAGCATGTTTGGTCAGCTGGTTTTACTGCTGTATGTGCTGTACAATGGCTGCTGGAAAAATAAAAGTGTTATTTTTTGTTGTTGACTTACCATTCAGAAACCACTTGCTGATTCCTTGTTTGTTGTTTTCAAAGATGTATGGGTGTATAATTGCTCGTCTGTTTGCAGCCATTTTTTTGTGTGAGTGTAAAGTTGAGTTGGGGGCGTGGCCAGCAGCAGTTTATTTGGATTTAAAGTGACAAGAAGCCCTAAAAGCAGATCATTCTGAAAGAAACCTAAAATAGGTTGAACTGATTGATGAGTTTGTGCAAAAAATGTAACAAATATGTTTTGTCGCCCTTAGACTGATCCTAACCTGTTCAAGGAAGCATAATGGGTCACCTTTAATATAATCATGAAAATAAGGTTCTGATCCTTCATCTCTCTGTTGGTTCTTCCTTCTTGATGTGCTTGTAGCTTATTAGCCTCTGCAGAAGGTGGTTTGCATGTTTGCATGGCAGTGCAGTGGACGCAGCTGTGAGGCATCTCAACAGATTACCGCCGTAATCGAGCCGAGGGATTGACACGAATGGAAATATCAGGAGCCGTGTTTTACGACCACAGGTCACCTGTTCCCGCTCGAAATCATTAGATGCGGCTGTTTCCTCAGGGAAATCTTAGCAGCTTGGGTTTGTAGAATATTTGAAATGATGCAGAGTTAGAAAATGATTGCAAGGTGACCAGGCGAAGACTCACACTTTATTGTTTTTCTTGTCTGGCATTTAGGAGAAACGGAAAAGATCTTCGGTCTCTGCTACAGCTGCACATTATGAGCATCACAAACGAGTTCTTGGACTGCAACAGGCTCATATATTTAAAGTGCCAAGCATTCATCTGCTGCAAGCCAGTAATATAAGTGGCCAACAGAATGGTCTGCACTACAGCTTGTACCAACAGTTGATTTAAATGGCAATGGCTGAGATGCTAACTGTTCTCAAACTGGTCCAATTCTGGATGTTTGAGTCCAAATCCAGTCCCAATGTCTGAATTTATATAGCTGTTGATAACAATATAAAATCTTTTACTTTAACATGTAGTGGTGTTTTTGTCCTGGTGTTTTAGATGAAAATTAAAACATACAATCAATTAATCACGTTATATTAAAATGAGCTCGGTAATTTCCATTTTTGTTTACAGGGATTTTATAATCGATTTCTTTTAAGGTTTTGATTTTGTGTGCTTATTACTTCAGGTTTATTTATTTCTCTTTTTAAAATATCTTCCAGTTCCAGTCTTAAATTTTCTTTACAAAATTATTTTTGAGAGGCTGAACTTGCATTGTTGCCATTATTATTATTATATAACTTGAAAATGGTCTCAAAACAACAATATTATCGTTTATCGCAATAATTTATGGGACAATTTATCATCCAGCAAAATTTGTTATCACAGGACTAGCTACTGCCATACAACAGTTTGTGTCTATATCTTCAGTTGTATTAATATTTATAAGACTGATAATTACATAACAAGCCTTAGAACTGTCCTTTCATGTCTGTATTAACATTTTGCCTGCGAGAAGCTAAATCTGTATATAGACCGCTGAGAGATGCAGGGCATTACCACAGTAGTATAAAAATGGCAGCTGCTGTCAACCTTTCAGCTTTACTGGGGTGCAAATGTTGCTAAAGAGATCAGAAAATTCCCTAAAACCAACTGTGTATATGAGTGATTGAGGAAAGTCACAACATGCAACTCAATAAAACATCAGTTTTACTTATTTTAGTGAAACAAAGTGAAGATGGTAACCAGGGCCGGGTTCAGAGGGATGTGGAAAACTGTTTTGATGCCCTGTCTTATAAAGAAAGGAGGAAAGTGAAGAATGAGCCACCAGCTCTTGTGTTCGGTACTGGGAGCTCTTGAGATATTCTCCACTTCTCTCCCAGGTTGAGTCGCTTCTGTTTGAAGCAAAGTTTATCTCATCTTTTTGATGTTTGGGCTTCTAAATCACAATTGATTAAATTGAATTTGCCAGCATGTTCTTAATAAAATTAAATACAGCGTGGCCGGGTGTTAGGCCCCCCAGAGGACACCCTTGGATCTGGCCCTGTGTGTGCAGTGTGTTGATGCTGAGCAATGAAGAGGAGGAGCTAACGGGCAGCAGAGATCGTCCATGTGAAGGTGAAGCAGGTTGCATTTCATCGGCCTTGCTGCAGTTATTCCACAGAGGCGATTGTGTCCTTGTGTGTTTGTCTCCTGATCTCACAAATAAAATCCAAGTCATTTAACATCTCATGCTTTCCAGTGCTGGTGAGTGTCCTTATTGTGTGCATTAAGTGTTTCTGCAGACATAGCATGTCAAGTTTTCACTAGAACTGAAACTCATTCACAAATTAATAGTAAAAGCTTCCGGAGCTTTTTCAATGAAAAGTTAATGGAAACCTAACAGAAGAACCAACATGGCTGACCTTCCCTCCATCCAGGACTTGTACAGGTCGAGGGTCAGCTAAAATCTGTGCAGGCTGCAGGTGAATGTCAATTATACCACTGTCAATCTTTGAAAAGCAGAAGTAGAACTTCCTGCACAACCAGCAAGAATGCAGAAAGTGGTTTCTTGATAGTAAGTCAGCAACAAAACACTTGTCTAGCAGCCGTTATACAGCAGAAAAACCAGCTGACCAAACATGCTGGAGCTCTGTTTTAACAGCAAAGTGCCCACCAACTGTGATGTAACATAAAGTTATTGCAAAGAAATGACTTGACGGTTATTTGAAACGCTTGGGCTGTTTTTTTTTATTTTTATAAAAGTACAAAAATTTGCAAAATGTGAATTTTCCACAAGAGATGCGACTATTTTTACGTTTTCTTCTGTCAGAGGATAATTTTCCAACAAAATGTACAACATCCCAACATGTTCTGTTCTCCTCTTACAAATGTAATCCAAATGAGCCTGTTTAATGTTGCGTCTCGTTTTGCAGATGGTGGCTCAGGACAGCTACCTCAACGAGGTGCAGAACTCAGGTAGGCGGGAAGTGAACCGTCCGTTTCTCCGCCTGCTTCTCCTACGCCATCGCTCTTTACTCTTTCAGCCCTTCTCTCCATTTTATCCCACATTCTGACTCAGACAGCATAAAGCACATCTCCATGTCTTAAATCTCCCCGTCTTCACAGCCTGCACCTCTCTTCACCCCTCATTCAATTTCTTTCCTGAGCGTCTCTGAGAAGATTGGGAGCCATAATGCTGACGACGATGGGGGTGGGGTGAATATCTCTGTTTTTACGCCACGTTGATAAACGAGGGAAATTCAGGCTTAATGCTTTTCCAAACCCACCATCCATCAGCAGCTTCGGCCTTCCCGTCACGGGAATGCCTCGGCACTCTTCAGAACCCCCTTCATCACTTGCCTAGGTCAAAACGTGACCAAAAATCTAATTAAAACCTGCTGTAAATGACCTCATTTGGTTATTAGTTTAATTTCTGTGAGGAAAACGCCTTTGCCACACACACACACGGACTCCAAGCCTGCGAGTGTGAACCGTATCAAACGCTCATTGTGGCTGGGAAATGGATTATGAGAGCTGGGAGGCTGAGCGTTCCCAAGGCGATGGGCAGAATATGGCTGTCGTGGCAGAGAGGAGCGCGGCGGGTGTTGAGACGAATAAAAGAGGCTGAATGAGGCAGAAACGATGAGAGACGAAGTAAAATGTAGAAAACATTGGTTATTGTTGATGCAGACAGACACACAGGCTGGATTTTGGTTTAAGTGATGGCTTTACAAGTTATTAAAATTGAGCTAATGTGAATAAAAAACGTTTTATAGAGGAAAATACGAGCAGAGCTTTTTATTTAAATTCAGTATAGTTTGGAAAAGATAATCTTTTAAGTCAAGGATTAGAGACAAATATGTATAAGATTCTTATAGAAATAAGGATGGGAATATAGAGTTAAAAATGTAGATTCAAATAAAAGTGATGATCAATAATCATACAATACAATAAACAACAAAATCCTTAAGCATTCAAACATTATTAAAATGAATTTACTACATGCTATGCCTGTCTTAAAGTACTTGGATCCTGTAGATGAAATTTAAACCTCCTTTAAACGGGAAGAATCTAAAATGATGTTAAAATATTAAAGATGTTCTAGTCTGTCCAAACAAATCAAATCAACTTGTTTTATTTTTCTTTTCAAATCTACCCAAAAATGTCAAAAATATGAAAACTGAGCTCAAAAACTACGATTAGACACCTAAAAAATGATGTAACACGAGCTCAACGAGGCAAACTAAACCAAAAAACCCCAAACAGAAACACTCAGACACTGAAATATCTATTTTATATTAAGAATTTAGAGCTTCTTGTATATTTTTTATTAGGCGACACACTGAAGTTTCCATGCATTAATATTAAGAGGGCTTAGAGAAAAAGTCAAACATAACTAGGTGGATTATTATGATTAATATTAAAATGAAAACAAATATTTAAGGATCAAACTACAGCATCTACTAATCCTGACCAAATCCTTATTAACTTTAACATGTAATTTTAATCATGACAGCCTTTTTACAACTACTTACCTGACTCCAGAAAGCTTAAGTTATTTAATATTTTAAATCCCAGCACTTCGTTAACTTACAATTAAAGATACATTATTAATGAAGATGGCAACATTTACCTCTGTGTAAATCTGTGTAAAATATTTAACTTGCATTTTAAAAGCGCCATATGTGGAGCTTCAGGAGTTGCTGTCTGGAAACCGTTCTCTGCACTCATTGTGGATTTTTACATCAAAACTAATTCAAGACGAATAAAAACAGCTTTGCTGATCAGATTGATTAACATGATAATCTGTCATCCTGGCGTTTTCTTTAATCTATAATCAAGTTAGATATTGAAAAGTTGGGATTTCCTTCAGACATTAAAGTTTAACAGGATTAGGAACTGGTGAATAAAATATGTAATTTCACAGATTTGCACAAAAATACAAGTATAAAGTGAGCAATCTCTGAATTTTATTAAAATTGTTGTCTGTGCTCAATTTTAAATTTGACTCCAGTTCATCCTGATTTCACTGCTATGAGTTGTCGTTTAATAATTAAAAACGGACAATATGCAGCTCAAACATAAATATCACCATTTAATGCTAATCAGAACTGTGACTATAATAATAATAATAACAATAATAATAATGGAGGAAGTTGAGTTGTGGTCTGAGAGAGGAATTCAAATGATTGATTTGAATAATCTATAATCCAGATTATAGATTATACATCTGCATTCCCTTGACGGGTTTTTAATGAAAAAAAAAAGCAGATTGCCTGTTAACAGTATGACAAAATGGGATTGCAGATTATATTCTCATTGATCAAATCAACTTTAAAGAATATACAAAAAAAAAAATCAAACATCAGAAGAGACTCATTTGCAAGTTTTAAAATAAGACCCTTTACAAAATAATGTAACATTTTCAAAGCTCAGTCATTTATTTTCCCAGGGTTTTTAGAGTCAAGAAGTCTGAGAAAAACGTAACACAGCAGGACATATAGAAGAAAATAATGACATGCATAAATGTCCATCTGCAGCAGACGTAATATGTCTAAAATTTATGAAGCTGAGCTTAATCTTTTGAGCTTCTTATATTCAAACTTGAATCGAGTGTCGCCCCGAGATATTTAAATTTAGTGATTTTGTCATTTTAAGTGTTAGGAGGTTGTAAGAAAAAAAATATCTTTACAGTTAGAGTCACACATGACTAACGGAGGCAATAATGATCCTCTGATACACAGTTGTTAGCTTAGCGGATACTAAGTCAGTTGTTTTATATGAAAGAGTGTCATCAGCATCCGACTGCGGTTTCACATCAACACGCTGCTCAGCAGGATTATTAATATAAAAGCTAAATAATAAAGGATCTAAGGCAAATATCCACGAGGTGAAAGGTTTTTATAATTATTGTAATCTCATTTCTTTACACAAGAAAAAAGCAAAAAATAACAAAACTACAAAATGGTTGAGGGACTAAATGCATAGATTTTAGTTCACGTTAAGGAAGATGAAAATTGCATCTGATGCAGCAGAGATAAAACAAAGAGACTCACTGGCTACTCCTGGTCTGAACAGTGAGGATAAATTAAAAATAAATATGAAAGGAAGAAAAGTTTTGTTTTTAGACGACTTCAACAGCTCTTTTTTTATAGCCTGAAACCCATTTTTACGCTTAGGTTGTTGTTGTCAATCTTAAAGAACCTCCATTTTATTTCTGTTTTTAGGATTTAAAACAGAAAACTTAGCAAAAGAAGGATGGATCTCTATTTTCTTTGGGATGAAAAATAAAACACAAATTCCAACTTAAACATTTTCTTGTACTTTAGTGTTTTTCTTTGTGGAAATTCAATTGAAATATTCTAGAAATAAACTGAAAAACTGTCAAAAACCTGAGTTTGCTATAATATCTAAATTTAGAAACAGTAGCTGGTTCTTTTTTTAATTTAGCCGAAGTTATTAAGAGCTATTGAAAACTCTTTCAGCCTCAGACTGAAACTGCTGGTTTAGACTTTAGCTAGCAAATAAAACCACTATGCATCTTCTTTTATTTAACAATAAATACTAATATAAAAATGTTTTTACATGAATCTGCTCAAAAAAAAAAAAAACCTTCAGTTTTTGTTCCCCAGAGAACTGAAAAATGCTAATGAAAAGTGGCACAAAATACTTGCTAAAAGTTGAGCCGGTTTGTTTGTAATTACGTGCTGCAGATTTAGAATGACACCAGAAGACAAATTTGGTGGCGTCAGGAGTAGAGCGGTGCATCCTGAGACAGTTTTCAGCACCGAACAATCAATACAGCAAGTGAAGGTCAGCAGATAGCGAATATCTCAAAGCCACCGGGGTTTTGCAATGAAAAAACAAAATCAAAACTCAAATCAGAACCAGAACTTAAAAGAAAAAGAGGAACTTTATTTTTAGAAATAGCCTTCAAAGTGTGCCTTTTAAATACAGCTTAGCTTCACTTATTTTCTGCACTGCATAAAACACAAAATCTTACCAAGTATTTCTTGTCTAGTTTTTAGTGCAAAATATCGTAGTATATTTGAAATAAGGCAAAACAAAGTTACAAGTAACTTCATAGAAAAATATAGGAACTACAGTAAGCAATTCCTTAACATTGACAACAAATTATTTTACTTTTAACAAGACTCTTTTCCTATGTTATATATATTTTGGTGTATGGAAAGACGAGCCGTTTCAAAAACCTGCTGATGAGTCACAACTGATAGGCTGCCGTTACCTAGCAACCCCAGTCCATCACCTAGCAACCACAGCACAGCCCAGCCAGTTACCTAGCTCAACACAGAAGTTTGTTAATAAAGTACTAGTTCCACTGGCAGCTTATTTCACTTGTAACGTGGGAAAACTGTATTGTTATAAATTAAATAATCTGCCACTGGAACTGGTACTTTTTGTCAATATTCAAGAATTATTGATTTAATAGCTGTTATATGTTGCTGAAAAGTTACTTGTAGGTTAGTTTTGTCCCATTTCTAAAATACGTGGTAAGATTTTGTGTTTTTGCCGTCTAATCGAAATCAAATAGTTGGTCTCTAAATACTCTGTTCATTCTGCAGGAGAAATGGGAACAATTATCATTGGCTCCAGATTTGAACCATACTCATTATCGCAGGGATTAAAGTACGGATACAGCTCCTCGGTAAATAAACACTCAGTAAAAGAATAAATGTGTACTGCTTTGATCACGTCAAAGAATGTTACTTGACCTCCGTTGTAGTCAACAAAAACCCCGACGTGCTCCACTTTCCCTGTATACACCGCCTCGCCTGGAGAGCTGAAGGTTTCAAACTTGTCTACTAGGAACCAGATGGCCCAGAGTCCGGAGTTCGGACTCCGAACTATCGCCCCATTCTTTTGGAGCGACGCCGTTGCCACGCCCAGACACCACTCCGTCTTTTGGCCCACGTGAACCTCGAAGTAAAACCTGCGTGAGGAAAATCCTCTCTGCCCCACAACAGCGAGATGCTGAGTGAACATGTTGGGTTTTGGGATCTGGTTTCCCCACAAACCCGTGCCCATGTTGTACCACACCTGCTTCCCGTCAGCGGATAAGGTGAGCATGGGGTGAGCTGTGTCAAAATCCAGCACGATGTTCTCCCCGTACTGCTGCATGTACCTGAGCGCCACCTTGTTTGACGTGTCTGTGCTGTTTGAGAATCTGTTGAGTTCTTCGTTCAGTTTATCCAGTAAGTCCTGCAGTTGAGATATTAAGTTTCTCACACACTTATGCACGTACTTCACCTCCAGGTGCCTGATGAAGTTATGTGTGGACAGGTCCATGGTGTATGGGAGGAGGGACTGGTTTGGGTACCTTTTGAGAAAACACACCGGGTCTTTAATCTCTTTCAGTTCCTCCAGATTCTTTGCCGTCACCTTCAAACAAGAAATCTCTTTCTCCATGTCTGTAATTAACCCTGTTGCCTGGTTCTCTGCTGCTTTCTGCTTCTCTTCAAACACCTTAATGAGTTCCTCTTGGGTCCTCTTAATCTCAGTAACCAACTCTGTTAGATCCCGTCTTCCATGTTCGATCACCTTTTTTGTCTCCTTTTTGCTTTGCATCAGTGACTCCTTTGTGTCTTGGACCTTCTGCATCCTTTCTTGAATCATCTGATGCACTTTGGCCTCATTACCAATCACCTGAAGCGTCATATGGTAGTATCCCTTCTGCACGGAAACAACATCATGGTTGGCGTGCCGTAATCCGACGCAGAGGTCGCAAAGCACCGAGCTGTCATTCTTGCAGAACAGCATCATCAGCCTGTGATGCTTCCTGCACACCTTTTCCCCCAAACTCTCCACAGGATCAACCAACGTGTGTCTCTTCAGCTCAGAAGCGATGTCATGAGGCTGTAGATGGCTGTCGCAGTACGAAGTGACACAGTCCAGACAGGATTTCACAGCCTGGCTGCTGCAGATGTCACACTGCACCTCACTGCTACAGCTGACCGGCTGCTGACCTGCTGACCTTTGGGTGTCAACGTTCGTGACATGAAGGGACTTGAACTGTGACAACAGATCTGCAATGAAGATGTTGACTTTAAGGTTGGGCCTGTTTGGAAAGTCTTCCTTGCAGATCGGACATTGGCAGACAAATGTGGTATCCCAGTAGGACGTGATGCAGGGCAGGCAGAAGTTGTGTCCACATGGAGTGGAAACGGGTTTGTTGAAGACGTCAAGACAGATGGGACACAGCAAGTGTTCCTCGGTTAAGAGACTTCCACCGGATGCCATTTCTAAAAAACACAAAGCACAATTACATCAACATATTAAGATAAATGTCTGAAATGAATTAAGACAGACTTTTTCTGGCTCACACAGATTCATGCTTTGAGGACTGACCTGCCAATTTTGATTTGTCCTTCAACAAAAACAAGGAATAATGTTTTTTTATTTATTGTTTATCTTTTTTTCAGTATTAGATCCTTCAAGTAAAATTGCTTAACTGTCATCTCTGGCTGATTGACTGGAGCATCTCCACTGAGTTTTTGAATTATTACAAAAAGCGCCAGACATCTCTTAGCTGTTCTGGTGCTTTTTGACTGGCACACAAAAATACCCAGGAGAAAACCAAAACAAAAAAATGACATTAAAAAAATCCCCAAAACATCTTTAAAAAGTACCAGCATTTTTTGGTATTAAAATAAAAATTTAATATAAAAAAAATATCTATGTTGCTGTTGTTATTTTTTTTAAACTCAGGAAGAGTTCAGAAACCAATATTTGGTGGAATAACCAGGAGGTTTTCAATGGAGTTCAGTGTAGTGGTCTGTTTATTTTTAATATTTTAATAAAAACTTTAGCACAAAAATGAAAGACAAAGCTTTGGACTGATTCCTGGATATTGGTAGTAGTTTAGAATCCAACAGAAAATTAAGGAATTACAAGATTATCCTAATTTATTTAGTCTAAGCACATTTTGATCAAATTCATTTCAGCTTCACTAAACTCCAAAAAAAAGGCGCTTTAATCGTTTAGGCTTTCTGCTGCTGTTACTAGCCTGCAGTCTGCTGCTTTGCAGATATTCCTCTTCACACCTCAGAAGATCGTTATAGTAGATGGGAAAATGGATAGAAGTAATTCCTGGGAAAAAAACGTCTTAAAGGCTACAAAAAGACTTCGTATTGGTACTTTGTGTTGATCCTATGAAATACATCAACATTTATGGCTGTAGCTTAATTTGCCTCTGTGAAAGTAATAAAGCACCATTAAGTGGTCTGTTACTGAAAGGCACTTACTAGAATCAGACATTACCACCTCCTTTAAAGCAGAAATTATATATTTTTATATATAGCTCAGTAAGATTTATACAAGCAACTTCCTTCTCAGATAATGGCAACAAGCTTCCTTATAAACTAAAAGATAATTACATAAACTATATATCTTTTGAAGCAATCTGTCAAGAATACATACAAAGGGTTACTCAGACAATGTGGTGGATGATCCACACCCTGCAAATACCAACTAGTGCCACAAAACACATCAGCCTCTCTGTTTACCGTGCAATCTGTTTTATATTTACTGTGCCAGACAAATAAAAAAAAAACATTGAAAAGCTACACAAAGCTCACACTGCATTTTCTACATACACCTACTAAGCATTGCTTTTCTCTTTTTACTTCCTATCCAAGTGTAGTCTTGACTTTAAAAGGGAAGAGCTGCAGGAAAAAGGGAAAGAATGTTAATTTGTTTTTGTGTGCCCTTACCCTGGTAAGGATGACGTGTTTCAGCTCACCTCTCCTGCTGCTTATCTGGCCTGTAGGTTACAGCTGTGTCCCCATCCCAACAGTTTGTAGACACAAAACTCAGAAAACAAGGAGTTTTGTAGTTAAAGGGAACAGAAATATCAATTTATGTGCTGCTGAGAGAAATGGACGGCTTTAAACACTCCCCAGGAAAACCTAATTACTTTCTGTTTCCTGCACCACGCCTCTTAAAGGGACAGGCACGTATTTCTTGTGTGTGGAGATTTTTCATGTTGAAGGCTGCTTAAAGCTCCCTAATCATTCATAGATATTCAATTTTTTCTTCAGCAGTTTTCTCACACTTCCTGGCTTTTACTGCTTTCCATCTTCTCTTCATCCAAACTGGATCAAGTTTGTGTGTTTGCTGCAGTCAGGCAAAACCTTTTGAATTTGTGAGTGTGTGTGTGTGTGTGTGTGTGCGCTTTAGGACTTGCATCTGGGTGATAATGATCCTGGATGGCCAAGCTGTGTGTGTTGCTGAGATAAGACTGTTGCACTAACACTGGAATCCTTCCACCATTAATCATAGCTCAGTTACCGCTCGACTTTGAAAATCCCCAAAGATCTTCAAGGGGAATTCACCCAAGAGCTAAAAAAAACAGAAATAAATTTAGAAATATGGAGGTTTCTACCTTAAGATTACAAGGCCAGGATGCAGATGAAGTGAATTGTTATTGTTGCAAAATGAAAGCGAAAGAAAACACAAATAAGAGTGAAAAGAAAAAAATCCCCTCACAGCCCCAACAGTTTGAATACAGTTAACCTATAAACTAATCATCTGGGTCATCGTATTACATCACATTAAGATATTTGGTCTACAAACTAGACCAAGAACAATCAGTGTAATATTGTGGGTTTTTTTTTTTTTTTTGCAGTACTTCATCACATCAAGTAGTTAGCCTTCCAATTTCCCTGTATTTGTTGCATCAGCTTTGCAGATAAAATGTTAATAGATGCAACAACCCACTAAAAAGGACCATGATGAAGAGATAAGTGATGCTATTTGCTTCACCTCTTAGTGGTTGTAGTGTTATGCTTTGAGTGATTTTTGAGTTTTTGCTTTAAAGTTGGATAAAAATGAAAAGTTCATATTCACCTTCTACCTAAAATGGCTTCAGCTCAAAGCAAAGTGTTGATATTCCAGACTTACAGCACACTTAACTGAGTTCCCTTTAATTAAATGCTTTTCATTTTTCTAGTTTCAGGCTTTTGGTCTCCCAGTTTTAATGTCATGTTCCAGTTGTGCTTAGAACTGAGAAATTTGAACTTGCCAGTGAAATAAATCAACTGGATTTCCCACTGGGAAACTGGGAGCAACTGTGACTACCCCAGTCACAACTTGTAAGGTGGACTTGACGATTCAATATGGCCGCTCCTCACATCAACAGCAACATGATGTGGTGGAAACATGTTTATTTTACAAGAAACGGGTAGCGCCTGCGACTTTAAAATGAAAAAAAAAAATAAATAAATAAAAGTGGTGTTTGTTTATAGAAAGTGAAGCTTAAAATTATGTTTCTAAGAGCTACAGCTAACATGTTTATGAGCATCGCCACATTGAAACTCCAACTTCTTAACTAGAACGCTGTTACTTCGGGTCTGACGTCAAAACCTGCTCCAGGTTTTGTGTTTAACTGGAACGCAGCATAATCTCTCCTCTGGGTTTGTTTTCATCATTTTCATTAGCGCTGCTGTTGGATCTTCAGCACATTGACTGCTCCACATTTTGTGGCCTAATTCTGCTACACTTTGATGTCAGCAGTTTCCCCTCTCAGTCCGTCTAAGCTTCACTCTCATATTTTTCCTCCTCAGAGAAGATTACTCGAGGTAGTTGATGTTACATTAAGGCGAGTTTGATCGTGCTCAGTGTGGATCGGGTGAATCCTGCTGTGGGAGTGGACAGAGAATGATCCACGCTAGCTTTTATGTCTTGATGAAATACAGACATGGGGATAATGTGATCTTCTCCTCACAACATGTCTTTCTTACTCACGCTGACCTAAATCCTCCTCATTTCATCCAGAACATCTTTTTTCTCTGCTCTTCCTCAGCAGTTCCCCTTATCTTCTCTTCTTCCTCTCTGCAGTGCCTCTGTCTTGCTCTGAGGGATTCACTGAGTTGGGATACTACAACGGCACCGTGTCCCAGACGGATTCTGGCGCCCCTTGTCTGAAGTGGACTGAGTTTCCAGACTACGTCATGCAGTACCCAGGCCGCGGCCTGGGCGACCACAGCTACTGCAGGAACCCGGACCGAGAGTCCAACCCCTGGTGCTTCTTCAGGCAGAACTCAGGTGCTATCGGCTGGGCTTACTGCGACTGCCACCAAGGTACGCTAACACGTGTTCAGGTCCGATTACACCCGTCATGAATTGTCCCAGAAGTTATTATGATAAACGACAATATTGTTGTCTTGAAACTAATGTAAAGGTAATATTAATGTGAGTACACCCTGCCAATGATCAATAAACCTTAATTTCTAATGAACATTTTACACTGGAACTGACATTTTAAATATCCAAAGCTAATAAACAAAACAACAGATAAAATGGATACTGAAGTCTCTGTAATTTGTAAACAAAATTACAATTGAAACTGAAAATGTCCAGTCTTTTGGAGAAAAACAAACCATCATGCAAATGGAAATTACCAAGCTATTAATTGAGGTTTTTCTTGAAGTAAGGGTTATGTTCAGAAAACCTCACCCATGTGTCTGGTAGACATTTATCTTATGTATTACAGACTTCTTGGCATCAATGCTTCTTCTCCACTGCCATAAGTGAGATGGGTCAAGCAGAGACAAACCCAACACATGCATGTAGCATGATGTAATGGGACTCGGCAGAGTTAATTAACAGCTTAGGTCAATGTCTGTTCATTGTCCAGAGAGGTTGTGAAGCATGATTTAGTGACTTCATTCTGGTTTTGTAGCAACTATACTATAATTAGTGACATTAATTTGTACATTTATTTAATGACTACATCTTTATTACAACTATTACTACTACAGCAGAGATAGATATTTGTGCTTCTCTGTGATTTTCAGGGGCAGTTCGTCTGGTCGGCAGCTCGTCCTCCGACAGCGGGCGGGTTGAAGTTTACCTGAATGGCCAGTGGGGGGCGGTGTGCAACTCCCACTGGACAGACAGAGACGCGACTGTTATCTGCAGGCAGCTGGGCCTGGGGTAGGGAATAAAATAATAATGTAATATGTAATCTGATTAAGTTCAGTTCAGTCCGGTTTGAATTACTTTAAATAAAATTTGTTTTGATTTTGTTCAGTTTGACTAAAAGCAGTTCAGTGGATTTAGTTTATTTCGATTAAGTTCAGTTCTGTTTTGATTCAGTTCAGTCAAATGAACTGAATTAACATTAAGATTTTTTTATTCTGTTCAGTTCAAATCAGTGAAATGAAAATTGGTTCATAAAATCCAGTTCACTTTAATTCTGTTCATCACAACTCAGTTCAGCTGTATTGGATTTGATTCAATCTGTTTGACTTAGTTCAGTTCGAGTCAGTTTAGATTCACTTTGATTTATTTTAATTAATTTCAGTTTAATTAAAAACAGTTGGGTTTTTTTTTTATTCACCGACTTCATTTCTATTAAGTTCATATCAGTTCAGTTCAGGTTTGTTACATTACATTCGCTTCAGATTGACTGAATTCAGTTCAGGTCACATTCCAAATAGTTCTTTATGATTCAGTAAAATTTAATACATTTAATTTAGTTTAATTATTTCAGTTCAGATGAGTTAAAATATGTTCGGTGGATTCATTTAAAATTTTGTTATTTTTTATTCAATTCATGTCAACATCATGTCAGTTCAGTTCAATCGTATCCGAGTTCATTTAGTTTGAATTACAGTTCATTTGCATTGTAACTGGATCAGTCCACTTTCTTTCAGTTCAGTGCATTTACATCCATTCAGGTAAATTCAATTCAGTCCAGTTTTGTTTATTTTAGCAATAATTCAAGTTCAGTTTACCTATGTGAAATCATTTCACCATCTAGTTACACACAAGCGAATTCAATTTTGTTCTGTATTGTTCAGTTGAATGATAATTTAGTCCAATACCATCAGATTTCGATTCCAGTCTAGTTAAAAACATCCAATTTACCCTCAAACTGAATCTAGTTCAATGCAGTCAGATTCAGGAAGCACCTAAATGACTGTATCTCCCTGGATGAAAGTGGAAAGGATAAAAAAAAAAAAAAACCCTCCTGTTTATTTTTTAAATTTAATCTTTCCAGTGATATTGGTACTGGGCTGCAGCTCTCCCAGTTTGGCTCAGGCTCTGGCCTCTTCCATTATGAACGTCTGGGCTGCCGTGGAGACGAGGACGCCCTGAGTAAATGCCGAAGCAGGACGTTCGTCACCGGTGACTGCAGCCATGGCAACGAGGCGGCCGTGGTGTGTGCGCCACCTGAAGGTCAGCGTGACTTCTCATTAAAACTACACCTGAACATTTCCCCCGTCACACCTGAGCTGCGAAGTGACCTCCTTTCTTTGTGAATAATCCCAACACTTTAGGCTCACGTATATTATAAATTCCACCTTCCTGTCGCAGGTAGCGGTCCTCCGCTGCGTCTGGTGGGAAGCGAGGAAGACTTCGAAGGTCGTGTGGAGGTTTTCCACGCGGGCCGGTGGGGCTCCGTCTGTGACGACCAGTGGGACGACAGAGACGCCGAGGTGGTGTGCAGACAGCTCGGTTACGGGTATGCCAATCCATATTTTTGTCATCTGAAAAATAAAATCTCTTTAGTTTTCTTATTTAAAAAAACTCCTAAGAAACATTGCAGAATATTTTATTTGTTTGATGTTTAATATATGAAGTCAAACATGAGTTGAGTAGTTGTCTTTTATTACGTACATACAGCTTAAAACTTAAGTTTAATTTTAGCGTAATTACATTTCATGCCTCAATAAAGAGCTTTTCCCCCACATTTAATTAACAATCTGTTTAAATATCCTTCAATCTGGTATTTTTCTTTACTTTAGTCCTCTTCAGAATGACTAATCAGATTTTTATTTGTAAAAAAAAGACAATTTTGCACAGCAATTTCTTTGTCAAACAATATCACAATGAAATATGTTGAAGTTAAACAAAAAGTCAAAGGGAAATAAATGCTTTTGTCATACCAATATTTATTTCATTTTTTTAATAGTCAAGTTTATCTGTACAGAACGTCTCATGACAAAGCAGCTCAAGTGCTTTACACCATAAAAACATAACACAGTAACCGATTATGTGGAACATAAACATTGCATTTTGTCAAAAGTCATCAAAAGAAAAAATACATCAAATATTGATAAATGTTCCAATTATTATGAATCAAAGGCAGCTTAACAAAAACAAAAAGTCAATTAATGTATCTCTGGTTAAATCTGTCAAATCATAAATGTTATTATTTTAGTTCAAATGAAAACCTTTGTATTCATATTTAACTAAAGTTTACTCTACAGGCTGATCAAGTTTTACTTTTAAACAGATGCATTTTCTGGTTTACTTTTTTAAGGCTAATAGAGAGAATTTGTGAACACAATAAATGGGACTTAATTTCTTTCATCGTTTCCTCTAAAACTGCACAGAGCTACATCTGCTAAAGAGCTTCGTTAGGCTGATTGTGTTCCAGAGAGTGAGCTGGAAATATTGAGTGGCAGGAGAAACCGGGAGAGCAACGAGTTGCCGTGTAGATCAGGAACAATCCAGGGGAAACACCTTGTTTACGTTGCATCACTGCAGGTTTTCCTCTCCTCTCCAGCTGTCAGACAGCCAATAAGTTGTAACTGAGAAGTGAATCTCATGTTCAGCTCTGAGTTGCATCCCGTCTCCCGAAGCGCCAGGGGACAGCTCTGCGTCTGTGTTTGTAAATAAAAGAAGAGCTGACGACGATCTGCAGGTGTTCACACGCCGGCGCGCAGACTTATGTTTGACACGTTTTGACAATTCAAAGCAAAATGGTTGATGTTTTTGAAGTCTACAGGGTCCAGTTTATTTATATTGTGAGTTTATGTGTCAAACATGCTTCATGCTGCCAGACTTCTCAAAATCCTCCCTGGACACAGCCGACAACTTCAGATGCAAATAAATAAATAAATAAAGATCCAGCACAAAAACAGTCCATGTAATTTTACTGTATTTATTATACATCTAAATTAAAAATACTAGCACTTGAAATGTTAAAACTATTCATTTTAATCACTGCAGCTTCCTAAATTCAGTCTATTACATATAATGACAGTAGCAGAATGCTTAGTAGGTATTGCGTTATAACTTTATGCACATACATACATATTTACGTTATTTGAAAGCTAAGATTGTTTAAATTCCAATAATGCATGTCAATCAAAGACACTATTATTCAGTAAATGCTTTTGTTAGATCAAAAAAAAAAATCCAAAATAATGTTCATCTCACTGTCTGCAGCTTCTTAGCATTGACAAAACAGAGTCATCTCGAACAAAAATGGCTTTTTTTTTATATCTACACGAGTCCAATTAATAAACTCCAGGAACATATTTAGTCCACAACAAGCTGACTGTCCACAATCCAATATAATCTGCAGCTGAAAACTTTAGAAATTTCTCACAAAGTTTGCATTGTAACTTCCGTTAGCATTAATGTTTTAAGCGTTTTGGAGAAATATCCTGATTATTTTGACTATTATCTTTATTCACAATGTATTTAGGTATACTTTTGTTTTATTAATTTTTTTATGTTTATTTCTTTTTGTTCAAATGAAATTTCACAAGGCTTGCAAAAACTTATTTATGTGTTAAACCAACACAAAGTTTTGCCAAATTGATAAACACAATAACATTACCTGAATTTGGAAGGTTTTTATTGGCTAAAACGCCACACAGTGATGTATTTTACTTCTGCAATAAGCGACTTCATTTCAAAGTTTGTAACATTAATAATAATGTGGACGTGTTTGGATGAGTTTTCAAATCTCCGCTGCTCCAACGCATCTGGTTCTGTTGGTTTTGCTGCTTCTCTTTGCTTTCAGCAAGTCACCTGCAGGTTGTCTTTAAGTTAAACATCAGTTTCAAACAAGCAGAAACACACAGGGACAAAAACACATCCGCAGCAGGGCTTTTATAGCATTTATCCATCAATAAGTTATGGCTACAAGGAGCCACTCTGTAGCTATTTATTATTCAACAAGGATTTCTTATATGTACTTTATATAGCATATTAGTTAGACACATTTAAGTTACTTTGTGTGGGTTGGAGGGGAGCTGCTGTGGAGATGGGATGTATTCAGAATAAAGTGCTTTTTTATTCAGTTATGACAGACTTTATCTTATATTCCCCCACAATACCAAAACTAAGGAACTCCTGAAAAGCAAATCCAAATAAATATACATTATAAGAAGCCATTTTCTAAGTGTGAACAAAGGTTTCCTGTTCTTACTACCCAGAAAACGTTGTGGAAGTAAAAAGTGAAAACATTTTTTTAGACCAGTTTAAGCTTGATTGGCATGCAGCGTGTGTG